AGTAGGTAGGGGATGTGTAGATCAAGTGTTTACATTGAAGCATATATGTGAACAGTATTTAGATAAGGGTAGGGAAGTTTTTATTGCATTTATGGATTTAGAAAAGGCATATGATAGAGTGGATAGGGGAGCAATGTGGCAGATTTTGCAAGTACAGTGGACCCCCGGTTCACGATATTAATCCGTTCCTGAGAGCTCATCGTAAACCAAAATTATCGGAAGGCGAATCAATTTTCCCCATAAGAAATAATGGAAATCAAATTAATCTGTGAAAAACACCCAAAAGTATGAAAAAAAAAATGTTTACCACATGATATATTAAGTTTAATGCAATATAATAATTACAATAACAATAATAACAGTAGAATAATCACAATAGAATAATTGACACTTACCTCTAATGAAGATCTGGTGATGATTGATAGGATGGGAGGAGGGGAGAGTGTCGAAGTTTTTAATGTTTAGAAGGGGAATCCCCCTCCATTAGGACTTGAGGTAGCATTGAGGTATATGTGGAGTCAAAAAACATTATCTATGGAGGCAAAGAAGGGAATGTATGAAAGTATAGTAGTACCAACACTCTTATATGGGTGTGAAGCTTGGGTTGTGAATGCAGCAGCGAGGAGACGGTTGGAGGCAGTGGAGATGTCCTGTCTAAGGGCAATGTGTGGTGTAAATATTATGCAGAAAATTCGGAGTGTGGAAATTAGGAGAAGGTGTGGAGTTAATAAAAGTATTAGTGAGAGTGCTGAAGAGGGGTTGTTGAGGTGGTTTGGTCATTTAGAGAGAATGGATCAAAGTAGAATGACATGGAGAGCATTTAAATCGGTAGGAGAAGGAAGACGGGGTAGGGGTTGTCCTCGAAAAGGTTGGAAGGAAGGGGTAAGGGAGGTTTTGTGGGCGAGGGGCTTGGACTTCCAGCAGGCGTGCAGGAGCGTGTTCGATAGGAGTGAATGGAAACGAATGATATTTGGGACCTGACGATCTGCTGGAGTGTGAGCAGGGTAATATTTAGTGAAGGGATTCAGGGAAACCGGTTATTTTTATAAAGCCGGACTTGAGTCCTGGAAATGGGAAGTACAATGCCTGCACTCTAAAGGAGGGGTTTCGGGATATTAGCAGTTTGGAGGGATATGTTGTGTATCTTTATACATATATGCTTCTAAACTGTTGTGCTCTGAGCACCTCTGCAAAAACAGTGATTATGTGTGAGTGAGGTGAAAGTGTTGAATGATGATGGAAGTATTTTCTTTTTGGGGATTTTCTTTCTTTTTTTGGGTCACCCTGCCTCGGTGGGAGACGGCCGACTTGTTGAAAAAAAAAAAAAAAAAACATAGATGAGGGAATAAATAGTGACATAAGCAAATTTGCTGATGACACCAAAATAGGCCATCCAATTCATTCTAATAATGACACTAAAGCACTTCAGGATGATTTGAATAGACTGATGCAATGGTTGGAGAAGTGGCAGATGCAGTTTAATATTGACAAATGCAAAGTTCTAAATGTTGAACAGGTAAATAACCATGCCACACATAAACTAAATAATGTAGATCTTAATACTACTGATTGCGAAAAGGATTTAGGAGTTCTGGTTAGCAGTAATCTAAAACCAAGACAACAGTGCATAAGTGTTTGCAGTAAAGCTAACAGAATTCTTGGCTTTATATCTAGAAGTATAAATAATAGAAGTCCTCAGGTTGTTCTTCAACTCTATATATCCTTGGTTAGGCCTCATTTAGACTATGCTGCTCAGTTCTGGTCACCGTATTACAGAATGGATATAAATGCTCTGGAAAACATACAGAGGAGAATGACAAAGATGGTCCCATGTATCAGAAATCTTCCCTATGAGGATAGACTGAGGGCCCTGAATCTGCACTCTTTCGAAAGGCGTAGAATTAGGGGGGATATGATCGAGGTGTATAAATGGAAAGCAGGAATAAATAAAGGGGATGTAAATAGCGTGCTGAAAATTTCCAGCCAAGACAGGACTCGCAGCAATGGTTTCAAGTTGGAAAAATTCAGATTCAGGAAGGATATAGGAAAGCACTGGTTTGGTAATAGAGTCGTGGATGAGTGGAACAAACTTCTGAGTACAGTTATTCAGGCTAAAACATGTAGTTTTAAAAATAGGTTGGATAAATACATAAGTTGGTGTGGGTCGGTGTGAGTTGGACCTGACTAGCTTGTGCTGCTGGGTCTGGTGCCGTGCTCCTTCCTTGAGTGGAGGTGGCTAGACTGGGTGGGTCATTGGGCTAATCGGGGGGGGGGGGGTCATTGGGCTAATCCAGGGTGGGTGGGTCATTGGGCTAATCCGGGGGGGGGGGGGGGTCATTGGGCTATTCTGGGGGGTTGACATGGACCTGCTCTGCATGGGTCAGTAGGCCTTTTGCAGTGTTCCTTCTTTCTTATGTTCTTATGTGGTAGCCAGATTACTTTGGTCTCTTTCCAGCATGTGAATTACCTGCAAATAACTAACATTAAATATCCCTGTGTTTTAGTAGCCTCTATTGATAGTCAGACCTTGAGTGTCCTTACTTCAAGCTTAATTTCTTAAGTATTAAGTGGCTGATTACTCAGACTTCTTGTGGAACTTATAGATGTGGATGGGATATTTTACTGATTTTTCTTGGAATTTTTATTTTTAGGATGTCCAAGTGTTCCCATATAAAATAGCTTTTATTATTGAATATTTTGACTGTATGCTATATTTTCTTCTCCACAGAGACCCATTGAACAAATAATTCACTCTTCAAAATGTTACTGAATTCATTCTCCACGCATCTAATACATGTATTTAACAGTTTTCTGGAAGGACAGATACTTCCCTCCCACATTCTTTCCTGTGGCACCATTGGCAAACTAGATGAATGAAATGGCATATAGTTGACAAGTATGAGGACAAAAAACTAGCTATTATTGCAACAGTTCTTACGTGAAGAGCTCTATCATGCTATGCCCTAATCAGAGGAAAATATTGTCTTAATAGAAACTTGTTCTGCAACATGTCTCTGTCTTCATAATTGCCAAAGTAATTTTATTTCTCTTCTTACTCCAAAATTACCTTCCTCTTAATTAGCTGAACCTATTGCTAGATAATGTTGAATTAAGACTGGTGCCTATGTTCTGGAGGCAGTTGGGCTACTTTTTGTGCCCTGATCTTCTTGCTTTCCTCTTGAATAATATTCCCATATAACTGTAATGTTGATACTGATATATTTGTAACAGTATATGAATGCAGTGAAACCTCTACTTGCGAGCGCATCCGCATGCGAGTTTTTCCAAATACGAGCAGTCGATGGGTCGATTTTTTGTTTCCATACGTGAGCAGACCTCAAGGCAGGTTCCTTGACACTGGTGAGGGGCTCTTGCTCTTGATCTAGGGAATTGTATCTCATTTGTTTGTTGGACTATCTTATTGAAACTTGGGCAATGTATGATGGAAAGATGCTTCTTAACGTACACCAAAAATGAAAGAAATCTAAGCATAAATAATGGAGTTCATTTCTTAATTAGCTACCCCTTTGCAGTATTTTCTTATGGTTTTTATGGTTGTATTCTCATTTTTTTGGTCTCATTTGATAGAATGGAAGATATATTACAGAAATAGATATGATTTTGATTGCTTTCACGACGAAAAGTACCTAGAAATTGAGCTCAACACAGGAGAAATGTTCGATTGTTTTGGGTATGTTCAAGAGTAAACAAATGACATCACTGTCCATTCCAATATGCAGTCGTGAATAGGTTGACATTATTTATACAATTATTGCAATAAGGCATAACAGTAAATCTTATATTTTTTGTGTGAATAAAAATTACAAATTATTTATTTTGTAATAATAATAATAATGATAATAATAATAATAATAATAATAATAATAATAATAATAATAATAATAATAATAATATGTATATGTATAATAATAATAGTACGTATAATAATACAATACAATAAGAATAATAATTTAATACAATATGAATAATAATATAATACAATAAGAATAATAATATAATACATATAATAATAATACATATACATACAATAATAATGTACTACATAATAATAATTATAATAATATACGGCTTCAAAAGGCCATCACTATATGGCAGTGTTTACCACAACATAAGAGGGAGCAGTTGTGGCCGCCTCCACCTGTTACATAATGGCATATTTTATTCATTCTAGAGTATATATCAGGTTTGTGTGTTATTTATATTGTTTATTATTTCATATTAGATGAACTGTGATAGATAAATAAGCCGTAGAGTTGATGGTAGTGAAATATTCAAGGGGTATTTTGTCCTGTCTCCAGACAAACACTCGTGGGGCACCACTGCCACATGTATAATGACATATTTTATTCATTCTAGAGTATATATCAGGGTTCTATGTTATTTATATTGTTTATTATGTCATATTAGATGAACTGTGATAGTTAAATAAGCCGTATAGATGATATTAGTGAAATTATTCAAGAAGTATTTTGCCCGGTATCCAGACAAATTCTCGTCCACCGCCTACACCGCCCATACCACTACCTGAATTGCATATTTTATTAATTTTAGAGTATATATATCAGGTTTCTATGTTATTTACATTGTTTATTATGTCATATTAGATGAAGTGAGATAGATAAATAAGCCATGGAGTTGATATTAGCAAAATTATTGTAGCACAGAGTTCCACTGAAACGGATTAATTGCATTTCAATTAATTTAAATGAGGAAAATTGACTGCAAACGAGCAAATCCAGTTGCGAGCAAGGTCATGGAACAGATTAAACTCGCAAGTAGAGGTTCCACTGTATTTTAAGTGATGCTTTTAACCCTTAAACTGTCCAAGCGTAGATCTACACTTTTTTACGTGCTTTCTTATGGAGAAAATCAAGATCGGAGTGCTACGCGCAAAAACGTAGATCTATGTTTGGACAGTCGAAGGGTTAATGCTTTTAATGAGGAGTGAATACAATCTTTTCTCTCTTAAAAAATTTCAGGTCTAACCTTTGACGAACGTGACATCATCGAGGGAGGTTTTCGTACGGGATCAATACGAGTTCTCATTGCCACTTCAACTCTATCGTCTGGAGTCAACTTGCCTGCTCGCAGAGTTATTATCAGGTCTCCTGTCTTTGGTGGGACCATTCTTGATACACTTACCTACAAGCAAATGATTGGCAGAGCTGGCCGTAAAGGTGTTGATACAGAGGGTGAGTGTTTTGATGACTTGTGTATGTTGTATTGATACAGAGGGTGAGTGTTTTGATGACTTGTTTATGTGGTATTGATACAGAGGGCAAGTGTGTTGATGACTTGTGTATGTTGTATTGATACAAAGGGTGAGTGTGTTGATGACTTGTGTATGTGATGTAGAGTTGTAGTAGTTTTCAAGAGGAAACTGGACTACTCTCTCTTATATGTGCCTTATCAGCTGGGCTGTGATTGTGATGTAGGTCACTAGCAGCAACAACTTTATCGTAGGGGTTCTTAAAAGGAGATATCGAGGGTTGAAGGTAGACACACTGGTTGGATGGTAATGATATATTGTCAGACTGTGATGATGGGAGATGGAGCCCAGCCTCTGCCTTGTCCTAGCCTATGTCAAACGCCGACTGAGGAGGCAGAGGTACGAACGTACATATGCGCATCCCGTGACGTCACACAAACAGTCACTCGGCCTAAGGGGTCTTCTATATAAACACATGGATGATACTATAATGCTCAGCTAATCTATACAACACATGTAAGGGGATTCAGCAACTATGCTGACAACTTAGTTGACCAGGTAGTGATCGTTAACACCTGGTCTCAGGCTGATCTGTGAGGGTAGAGTAACCCTTGAAACCAGTCACAGGTATGTAGTGAAGTCATGTGGATGATGCAGTATTGATGAATTGTCGTGGGGGTTCGGAAGGAGATATGATGGTTGAAGATAAACACAGTTGTGGATGGTAATGCTGTATATTGTCAGACTGTGGTAAGGGAGGCCCAGCCTGCCGTGTTACTGCCTGCTGTATGTCTAAGCGTGGAGTGAGGGCGAGGTAGCGCGTCTCACTCACTCATGCTGCATCCCGTGATGTCATACAGTCACTAAGCCTAAGGATCTTCTATATAAACACATGGAGCAAACAACACATGTAAAGGAGGATCAGCAACTATGCTTGACAGCTCGGTCATGTTACGTATGTCGTCTCGACATAACTATACTATAGGCTGAACAGGCAGGTGGTTTTGGGCTGATTCTATACAATAACAAAGACATATATAACTTAGAACTAATGGATGGTATCATAATGGATGTTAACATAATGAGTTTCAACGTAATGGGTTACAAATTATAAGAACAAATCATGGTATAATATAGGATGGAATTGATCGACCGATCTGTATTCATGCACTCTACGGATTCTGAGGAAGAATAAATATATATTTACAAAGTGAGCGTAATTAACAGCAAAATCTGGTGCACACAGATCAGTATTGCTAAATTCTCAGAATTCGGAGGGAACGTGAACCCAAAAATTTCTGACAAACTGATCAGTTAATAACAAAACACACAGTTGATAATTTCATTCATCTCGGACATCTAATTATACAGGCTGTTTACGTTTAAACCCAATTCTGCGAGGGTAAGGTTTACGTATGAAGAATGGTTATCATCTTTGGGTGGATCGAACTCTTCTGCGATGGCTAACACATGCCTTGACTGAGGACGATCTAAACGAGTATCTACAAAAGATACAGCTACATGGACGATCTGAACGAGTATCTGCAAAAGATACAGCTACATTCACTAGTGACTGTGGAATTACTAACTCTTCTGTTAGGAGTACTCAACTCGACTGTTCGATACAGTAATTCTTGGCTCATTACAAAGTCACTAATGGGTGCTGGTGGCTTCACAGTCAGAATAAGATCTTCCTGGAGCAGGAATCGAATCACACCAGAACACAAGGGATCGGTTCTTTCTTACTGGAGGAATGAACAAACTCGGTGGAGTGGATGACTCTCCCCGGTTGAAAAAAATAACGCTATAACAAACAATATGAGCAAAGGAGAACGAATCTACTATCTCTCACTGCAAGCACAGGGGAAAAGAAATGAACACGGTCAACAATACTGATATTCAATCTGAGTCGCACACAGTGACACGAGGTATCAACTATAAAGAAACTTCACTTACAAATGTTAACAACATGTGAAAGTTACTCGAGAAATAACTTCTTACATTGCACGAATTACTGCCAACTAGGATGGGATCACCATCTGGAACACAAGGGACAACAGCAACACTTAAGTGAGTACACTAGCCACAGAAACATCTTTCTGCAACGGCTTGTGGCATCAGCAAGAGATGGCATAACTCCTTGCAAGTAAAGTTCTTCTCAAAGCGTCCCCTGGGAAGGAACGAATACTTGAACAAGTCGCCATTGCAAGGATAGTAGTCTCAGCACCCAGGGTTGTCTGAGGTTCCTCTGAAACCCAAGGTAACTGTACACCATCCTGCGTGCACGATATTGTGGCTGGAGTCCAGGCAGGAGTGACAGTATTACTAGTGCCTGGCCGCTCGGCTATGTTAATAAGTAATGAACGAATCTGTAGGAGCTTAATCTGAACTTCACATTTTGCAGCACTTTAACAAATCTCAGATACAATCTGTGAGAACAAACACATTGTTTAAGGGCTAGGTATTGTCTTTCAGTCAGTAAGGGAATATTGGTACTGTGGACTGATTCATATTGACTTTGACTGGCATGATACACTAAGTGAACATTCAAAAGTGACTGGGACATCTTCTCAGGGAACTTACTCAAGGACATAAAGGCAAAAAAAAAAAAAAAAAAAAAATAGAGAAAATGACACAATAAGCTTAAACGGGAAGAAATTACTTATTTAAAAAAAATAAGTCACACTGTAAGCAAGGAAAACTCACACTCACAAAAGAAAATACTCAACTGAATAAGCAACACTTTAAAAATCAAGAGAAATTGTACTTTACTCAAATCTAATTTGCTCAACTTTACTTTAAAATGAGTTAATGGCACAGTGAGTTGTCTTTACTCTCAATGCAATAGGAAAATTCAACAATAAATGATGAATCAATCAAAAATGTTAAAATGGACTCAATAAAGCTTGTGCAAAATTAAAACAAACTGGGAAACAATTCACTAAAAATAAAATAAAATAAACTGGCACACAAAGAACAAAACATTATGCACAGAACAGAGCATATGAAACTTCACTGAAATAAACTGGAGCAATATTGCAAGTAACAATTACTAATCAAAAGTACTGCACACACTACATAAAATTTCTGCTAGAAAAATTTTAATGGCAACACAATATTTGCACAAGAATTATTGCAAAATGAATCAATGTAGCAATGATAAAAAAATTACACACACAAGAAAATACAGTTTACAAGAAAAAAAAAATATATCATCAAGGAATGAACTGAGTGAACACTTTAACTCTTAATTGCAGCTTAAGCAACACTGACTGAACAAACAAAGAATGATTTACTTTAAAAGAAGAACTTAAAAATTGCACTAAGAGTGAATTTGTTCAATGAAATATAAAAAAATAATAGATGCAAAAGCACAGAACAAAAAGGTTTGAACACTTACAGTGATGCAGAACACAACACATCAATATAAACACAATACTAGAATTTTCTTGCTATGAAACTTGGTGTGAAAAATTGGAAAATAATTGTCTTGCTTGCACAAAACAATGGCAGTGTTGTCTCTGGAAATAAGACAAATTAGACACAGGCTAAATGAAAAGAATTAACACAAGAATGTTCAACACACAGGGAAAAATAAAATAAAATGGCAAAAATACACAAATGCTGTGAGAAAAATATAACAGACAGCATTGAGTTGTGATGCAGAATATAAGGTAATAAATTACTGAATTACTTCACTGCAATACTGTGAACACAAGGTAATTCTGAAGTGTAAACACAAGTTCTATACTGCTTATATGTTGCACACAACAAGGAAAAAACACTAAGGTACTTACTTCAAGTATATAAAAAAAAAGAACACAACACAACAGACATAAATAATGCACGAAAATTAACACTGAATTAAGAAGAGCAAAAAAATATTGCAAACAGTATATAATAAACACTGAGTCTAATCGAGTCACTGAATGTCACTAAGAAATCACTGGAAACACAAAAATGTCTCAACACTCGCAAATGTCTCTATGAAAAATATTATCGCTGTAGCGACGTTGTTGACTGAAGTGGGGTGGAGGATGGAGGTGGAGGATGGTGGCTATCGTCTCGTGGCTGGCTGAGTTCGCTGACTTCTCTCCACACTCGAATTTGCGCTTAAATCGACGATGGACTCACACAGGAGGCTTTTAACGATGGCGCTATTGACGAAAAAACACACTCTGGCTCTTGACCCCCTATGTGGTCCTTAAAATATGGTGCTAGAACCCGTAATAAGAGTACAAAACAGTGGTAGTGGTTGGGTGAGTGGGTGAGGCAGGGCGGTGGCGAGACACCGCGTGGTGACTGGGCCTATGGGGTGAACGCCGTAAGCCTCACTGGGGACACCCGCACTAGGCGCAAAAATATTCTAAGCCGGACTGGCTTAAAACAAACCCACGAAATACCACAACACCACAGGGATTATAAAGCACACAGAATGGCTAGAACTTGAAGCACAAAGCGATGAAGAAGACTGTACCCACGTGGCTTGCTTGAGTACTGAGTTAAGACACTTGGGTTAGTTGCTGGCTGGCTTGGCTTAGCCCTTCACCAAGAATGGCTTGATAACTTCTAACGATGAGCACAGCAGGGGTGGAAAGCTGGCTTGGCAGGCAAGGCTGGATGGAATAAGGCTAGGCTGGACTGGACTTGGTCTGACTCCCCCACCACAGACTGTCGTGCTGGTTTGGCTTACTTTGCAAACTCGGGTCAACCCCTCGGGAGTGATGCAAATAAGCAGATAAACACTAATACAAAGAGACTGACCAGTGAATAATGTAGAGGCTGGTAGACGCTTGGTCGGGTAGTGGCTTGAGGTAGGTCGAACGTTACCCTTCTCGGCAGGCCTAGCGCCACAGGATGGCGACCGGCTCAGTAGAAATTTATCTCCAGAAATCACTGTAATTGTCAGAATTACAGGCCCTCCGCTGTCACCAATTTGTCGTGGGGGTTCGGAAGGAGATATGATGGTTGAAGATAAACACAGTTGTGGATGGTAACACTGTATATTGTCAGACTGTGGTAAGGGAGGCCCAACCTGCCGTGTTACTGCCTGCTGTATGTCTAAGCGTGGAGTGAGGGCGAGGTAGCGCGTCTCACTCACTCATGCTGCATCCCGTGACGTCATACAGTCACTAGGCCTAAGGATCTTCTATATAAACACATGGAGCTATACAACACATGTAAAGGAGGATCAGCAACTATGCTGACAGAATAATTGATTCCTATTTTTTAAACGACTATAATATTTTGGCACTTCTTTTCAGTGACCAGGTATACTAATGCCCTATATATCCAATGAACTCCATTCTTGTTTAATATAGAATAAATATACATAAACATTGATGAGGAACTCATATAACAGTTCAAATTAAGCTAAACCACATTTAATTGAGATACAGTAATGTTATTAATGGTACAGTTTCTTCTAGGGCCTGTAGTGTAGGTTTCTCTGACTACTTTCCTTCAGCAGCACCATTTTTAGTGGTCTGTGTTTTCCCAACTTGTTCTTTCAGAGTTTGCCTTTCTTGACTTATGCTGCTTTTTCTTTGCTGTATTTGTTTTTCCTTACCATTTTTTTTTTTTAACACATGCTGAGGCAAGCCTTTTCTTATTTTTCAGTGCAAGAAAAGTACTGCAGTTCAGCTTATGTTAGACAGTGTAATCTTGTATTTCTTCTTTCAACAAACCAGCCCGTATCCCACCAAGGCAGGGTGGCCCAAATAGAAAAATGAAAGTTTCTCTTTTTAAATTTAGTAATATATACAGGAGAAGGGGTTACTAGCCCCTTGCTCCTGGCATTTGAGTCGCCTCTGATGACACGCATGGCTTACAAAGGAAGAATTTTGTTCCACTTCCCCATGGAGATACAGTGGAACCTCAATATGTGACCTCAATTCATTCCAGAAGGCTGTTCGAGTGCCGCTCCATTTGAGTATTGAACAAGTTCTTCCCAACCAATTTTCTGTTTGGTTGGCTGTTATCACTAATCTTTGTAGGCCCCATGGTGACTTATTTATACAAATAATTAAAAAAACACCAAAAAATGCGAAGAAACACGAAATAGTTTACAGTGAAGTTCTGGCAGGTTGTATTTGTTTGGTAGAGTGGTGAGCTTTGTTTGAGTAGGGAGCTGGTCATATACTGAGGTTCCACTGTAAGTGGAAATAAACAAGAACTTGTAAGAAAATAGAATAAAACCCAGAGGGGTGTGTGTGTATATACATACTGTATGCTTGTACATGCACATGTAGTGTGACCAGAGTGTAAGTAGAAGTAGCAAGATGTAACTGAAATCTTACATGTTTGTGAGACAGAAAAAAGACACTAGCAATCCTACCATCATGTAAAACAATTACAGGCTTCCATTTCACACTCACTTGGCATGACAGTAGTACCTCCCTGGGCGGTTGCTCTTTACCAACCTACTACTTAGGAATCTAGTATTTATATTTACAAATGGTTCAATTCATATTTTCATTACTTTACCCAGTAATTAAATTTTAATTTAAAATAAAGTCTGATAACTTTCTTGCCAAAAAATAATTGATAGAGTCTCATCAGTTTATGATGTCAGAGTTGAAGTTGCAGGGAGTACTGTACTCAATATTTTGCTCTTGCAAAACCTAGTGTACTTTTCACATTACATTTGCTATAATAGAATATATTTACTAAATTCCTTTGAAGTTAACATAAATATTATTACTTTTTTTAAAACATTGGCTGCCTCCCACCGTGGCAGGGTGACCCGAAAAAGAAAAAATGAAAGTTTTACTTTTTACATTTAGTCATTTATACAGATGTTACTAACCCCCAACTCCCATCATTTTAGATTTTAGTCATCTCCTACGATACACATGGCCTATGGAGGAAGGATTCTTCTCCACTTCCATAATTGTTAATGTGTGCATAAAATAACAAAATACTGTTTCAGGTGAAAGCATCTTAATTTGCCGAGAAGGAGAAAGAAGCAAAGCCCAAGTACTCATGAGTTCGACACTTCCGCCCATCACTTCTTGCCTCCAGCACGATGCCTCTCTCACATCTAGCATGAAGAGAGCTATATTAGAGGTATGCCTTGAAGCTCTCTCGAATTAAATCATCATACTATACAGGTGCTCCTCAACATATGATATTTCTACTTTACAATTGTGCAAAAGCAATTACTTGGAGTTGAGATAATTTTCCAGCATCAAGGCGGCAAGTCTGTAACTTGTATTCATTTATTTACTTTTCAGTACTGGTATTTAGTTAGTTACAGTAATTTTATTTTATTTACTTAGTAAACATAGTTATTTATTTATTTAGCATGTCATATTGATATTCAGCTTGCGATATTTTTGACTTACAATGGGTTTGTCAGAACATAACCCCATCGTAAGTTGAGGAGCACCTGTAATTTTTTTTTCAACACATTGGCCGTCTCCCACTGAGGCAGGGTGACCTAAAAAGAAGAGCAGAAGTTTTTCTTTTTACATGTAGTAATTGATAAAAGGAAATGGGGCTACTAGCCCCTTGCTCCTGGCATTTTAGTCGCCTCTTACAACACACATGGCTTATGGAGGAAGGATTCCTTTCCTCTCCCCCATGGAGAATTATATGTGTAGACATGAATTTAGATGGGAGAAACATCAGTTTTGAACCACTGAGTGTAGTAAGCAGTCTTTTAAAATTTAAATAGTATAGATAATAGATTTAAGACCTCTTGAAATTACAAATTAACCCTTTGACTGTTTTGGTCGTATACAGTGAAACCCAGAATTTCAAAAGTATCGACTATCAAATGCTTCAAGTTTCGACCGGTTTATTCGAACCAGTTTTGTCCCAAGTATCAAACTTGCCCTGTGTTTCAAACCACCGGGTACTGGAACTGTCCATCTGCCCACTGTCCGCGTCCCCACACAGGCGTCGTGAGCCAGTCTGGCTTTGTTTATGCTTGAGTGAACCTGTGTGCTCATTTAAACATTTGACAATTAATTCATTGTGTTTGGTGCTTGTTTATTAACCCTTTGACTGTTTTGGTCATATATATACGTAGTATATATATACATTGGTAGACAGCAACCACCCAGGGAGGTACTACCGTCCTGCCAAGTGAGTGTAAAACGAAAGCCTGTAATTGTTTTACATGATGGTAGGATTGCTAATGTCTTTTGTCTGTCTCATAAATATGCAAGATTACAGGTAAGTTTTGCTACTTCTACTCACACTTAGGTCACACTGCACATACATGTACACATTTATTTATACACACTCATCTGAGTTTTCTTTGATTTTATCTTAATAGTTGTTGGTCTTATTACTTTTCCTTTTATATCCATGGGGAAGTGGAATAAGAATCTTTCCTCCGTAAGCCATGCGTGTTGTAAAAGTCAACTAAAATGCCGGGAACAGTGGGCTAGTAACCCCTTTTCCTGTAAAGATTACTAAAAAGAATAAGAAGAAGAAAATTGTCAAAGTGGGAAGTCTGAATGTGCGTGGATGTTGTGCAAATGATAAGAAAGAGATGATTGTGGATGTTATGAATGAGAAGCTGGATGTCCTGGCTTTAAGTGAAACAAAGCTGAAGGGGGTGGGAGAGTTTCATTGGAGAGGAATAAATGGGATTAGGTCAGGGGTTTCAAATAGAGTTAGAGCTAAAGAAGGAGTAGCAATAATGTTGAAGGATAAGCTATGGCAGGAAAAGAGGGACTATAAATGTATTAATTCAAGGATTATGTGGAGTAAAATAAAGATTGGATGTGAAAAGTGGGTTATAATAAGCGTGTATACACCTGGAGAAGAGAGAAGTGTAGAGGAGAGAGAGAGATTTGGGGAAATGTTGAGTGAATGCGTGGGGAGTTTTGAATCAAGTGTGAGAGTAATGGTGGTTGGGGATTTCAATGCTAAAGTGGGTAAAAATGTTATAGAGGGAGTAATAGGTAAATTTGGGGTGCCAGGGGTAAATGTAAATGGGGAGCCTTTAATTGAGCTATGTGTAGAAAGAGATTTGGTAATAAGTAATACATATTTTATGAAAAAGAGGATAAATAAATATACAAGGTATGATGTAGCACGTAATGAAAGTAGTTTGTTAGATTATGTATTGGTGGATAAAAGGTTGATGGGTAGGCTCTAGGATGTACATGTTTATAGAGGGGCAACTGATATATCGGATCATTATTTAGTTGTAGCTACAGTTAGAGTAAGAGGTAGATGGGAAAAGAGGAAGGTGGCAACAACAAGAAAGAGGGAGGTGAAAGTGTATAAACTAAGGGAGGAGGAAGTTCGGGTGAGATATAAGCGACTATTGGCAGAAAGGAGGCTAGTGCAAAGATGAGTAGTGGGGGGGTTGAAGAGGGTTGGAATAGTTTTAAAAATGCAGTATTAGAATGTGGGGCAGAAGTTTGTGGTTATAGGAGGGTGGGGGCAGGAGGAAAGAGGAGTGATTGGTGGAATGATGAAGTAAAGGGTGTGATAAAAGAGAAAAAGTTAGCTTATGAGAGGTTTTTACAAAGCAGAAGTGTTATAAGAAGAGCAGAGTATATGGAGAGTAAAAGAAAGGTAAAGAGAGTGGTGAGAGAGTGCAAAAGGAGAGCAGATGATAGAGTGGGAGAGGCACTGTCAAGAAATTTTAATGAAAATAAGAAAAAAATTTGGAGTGAGTTAAACAAGTTAAGAAAGCCTAGGGAAAGTATGGATTTGTCAGTTAAAAACAGAGTAGGGAAGTTAGTAGATGGTTAGATGGAGGTATTAGGTAGATGGCGAGAATATTTTGAGGAACTTTTAAATGTTAAGGAAGAAAGAGAGGCAGTAATTTCATGCACTGATCAGGGAGGTCTACCATCTTTTAGGAGTGAAGAAGAGCAGAATGTAAGTGTGGGGGAGGTACGTGAGGCATTACGTAGAATGAAAGGGGGCAAAGCAGCTGGAACTGATGGGATCATGACAGAAATGTTAAAAGCAGGGGGGGATATAGTGTTGGAGTGGTTGGTACTTTTGTTTAATAAATGTATGAAAGAGGGAAAGGTACGTAGGGATTGGCAGAGAGCATGTATATTCCCTTTATATAAAGGGAAAGGGGACAAAAGAGACTGTAAAAATTATAGAGGAATAAGTTTACTGAGTATACCAGGAAAAGTGTACGGTAGGGTTATAATTGAAAGAATTAGAGGTAAGACAGAATGTAGGATGGCGGATGAGCCAAGGAGGTTTCAGAGTGGGTAGGGGATGTGTAGATCAAGTGTTTACCTTGAAGCATATATGTGAACAGTATTTAGATAAAGGTAGGGAAGTTTTTATTGCATTTATGGATTTAGAAAAGGCATATGATAGAGTGGATAGAGGAGCAATGTTGCAGATGTTGCAAGTATATGGAATGGGTGGTAAGTTATTAAATGCTGTAAAGAGTTTTTATGAGGATAGTGAGGCTCAGGTTAGGATGTGTAGAAGAGAGGGAGACTACTTCCCGGTAAAAGTAGGTCTTAGACAGGGATGTGTAATGTCACCATGGTTGTTTAATATATTCATAGATGGGGTTGTAAAAGAAGTAAATGCTAAGGTGTTCGGGAGAGGGGTTGGATTAAATTTTGGGGAATCAAATTCAAAATTGGAATTGACACAGTTACTTTTTGCTGATGATACTGTGCTTATGGGAGATTCTAAAGAAAAATTGCAAAGGTTAGTGGATGAGTTTGGGAATGTGTGTAAAGGTAGAAAGTTGGAAGTGAACATAGAAAAGAGTAAGGTGATGAGGGTATCAAATGATTTAGATAAAGAAAATTTGGATGTCAAATTGGGGAGGAGGAGTATGGAAGAAGGGAATGTTTTCTGATACTTGGGATACATATCCCCCCCCCAGGCGCTGTATAATCCTCCGGGTTTAGCGCTTCCCCCTTGATTATAATAATAATAATAATCTGATACTTGGGAGTTGACATGTCGGCGGATGGATTTATGAAGGATGAGGTTAATCATAGAATTGATGAGGGAAAAAAGGTGAGTGGTGTGTTGAGGTATATGTGGAGTCAAAAAACGTTATCTATGGAGGCAAAGAAGGGAATGTATGAAAGTATAGTAGTACCAACACTCTTATATGAGTGTGAAGCTTGGGTGGTAAATGCAGCAGCGAGGAGACGGTTGGAGGCAGTGGAGATGTCCTGTTTAAGGGCAATGTGTGGTGTAAATATTATGCAGAAAATTCGGAGTGTGGAAATTAGGAAAAGGTGTGGAGTTAATAAAAGTATTAGTCAGAGAGCAGAAGAGGGGTTGTTGAGGTGGTTTGGTCATTTAGAGAGAATGGATCAAAGTGGAATGACATGGAAAGCATATAATTCTATAGTGGAAGGAAGGCGGGGTAGGGGTTGTCCTCGAAAGGGTTGGAGAGAGGGGGTAAAGGAGGTTTTGTGGGCAAGGGGTTTGGACTTCCAGCAAGCGTGCGTGAGCGTGTTAGATAGGAGTGAATGGAGACGAATGGTTTTTAATACTTGACGTGCTGTTGGAGTGTGAGCAGGGTAATATTTAGTGAAGGGATTCAGGGAAACCGGCAGGCCGGACTTGAGTCCTGGAGATGGGAAGTACAGTGCCTGCACTCTGAAGGAGGGGTGTTAATGTTGCAGTTTAAAAACTGTAGTGTAAAGCACCCTTCTGGCAAGACAGTGATGGAGTGAATGATGGTGAAAGTTTTTCTTTTTCGGGCCACCCTGCCTTGGTGGGAATCGGCCGGTGTGATAATAAAAAAATAAATAAATAATTCAGGGAAACCGGTTATTTTCATATAGTCGGTCTTGAGTCCTTCAAATGGGAAGTACAATGCCTGCACTTTAAAGGAGGGGTTTGGGATATTGGCAATTTGGAGGGATATGTTGTGTATCTTTATATGTGTATGCTTCTAAACTGTTGTGCTCTGAGCACCTCTGCAAAAACAGTGATAATGTGTGAGTGTGGTGAAAGTGTTGAATGATGATGAAAGTATTTTCTTTTTGGGGATTTTCTTTCTTTTTTGGGTCACCCTGCCTCGGTGGGAGACGGCCGACTTGTTGAAAAAAAAAAAAAATATACGTCTTACGAGCCACCATGTTTGACGTATATAT